ACTGATATGCATTTCCAATTTCAAAATTCAATTGAAATTTTTAATTCTTACTTACATAGTTACATGTCCCCACAATAAATAAATCATTCTCTAATCTTCATTTGTATAAAAAGTAAATCATTTTTTAATATTTAGTTCTATCTTTAATCATTATACGGAGTAAATTTATAGTGAAAATTAACAGTATTTTATTATGTTCTGGAAATTTCAATTAATAATCAAATAGAATTACAAAACTGAAAAAAAAATAAGATATTACCCAAAATGGGACTAAAAAAGTTTGGAAATTCCAAAATAGGACTTCCATGTTTTTATTCCCAAAATAGGACTAATTACTGTCATGTTTTGGCAGTACCAGACTTCAAACATGACAGTATTTTCCAAATTTGGCAGTAATTAATTCTATTTTGGGAATAAAAAAATAACGGTCCTATTTTGGAATTTTCAAACTTTTTTAGTCCCTTTTCGGGAACTTTCCCAAAAAAAATACACAGTAACACAAAGTCACAAAATGGTACAATGTTTAACCAATAAAACACAATATCACAACCGCTCCAGGTCTTTTGTGTTAATAAATATTCAAATAGATTAACAATGTTTCACAAAATAATACAATGTTTAATCAAGAAAAACAGGTCTAAAAGAGTATTAGAATTTAGAGTATACCTGGAGCTGGAGGCAGAGCCGCAAAGGGCAGAGGCGGACTCGGTCAATCGGAGAGCCGGAGAGGGAAGACAGCTGACGCAGGGACCTGGAACGTGGACGGAGGGAGGCGGCGCAGATGGTGGTCGCAGTTCGGTGGTGTTCGTCTCTCCGTCGCAGCTCCGCTACTCCCTCTGGTCGCAGTTCAGCTGCTTCCAAGCTTCCGCCAGTTCGCAGAAGCAGGCCGCAGGTTTGCTGGAATAGTCTGGTACTATGCTTGAGCTGGGCTGAGCTGTGATTAATTTTGTGGTGGGCTGGACATTTGGGCTATACCATTACTAATTGAAAACAATTGGGCTGGGCTAGATCTCTCCTCTGCCCTCACAATGATCCACCCCTGATGGTAAAGCTTGGCTAAGAAAAAGGTGATTCTATTTACACCACTAAATTACTCCTTCCGTTTTACAATCAAAGTCAGGATTTGACATATCAAGCATTAAGGAAACAAATTGACTTCACCCTAGAGAACACTATTTAGACACTGTTTGATACTGTTTTGAGTCTTTGACAATATTTGACACTATTTTGATGTAGATTTTTTTGCCAAATAAGAAAATAAGTGAAGTGTGACTTTGTTTTTTAAACATTCAAAAAAGAAAAGTGTGACTTTGATTACGAAATGGAGGGAGTACTGGTTACAAACACCTAATTAAATATAAATAGATAAAGTTATTTCAAATACCTATTTACCCTTATACAAATACAAATGTATTACACTCGAATGAACAAATACGGAGAATGAAATGTAATTAAAATGACATGTGTGCCCCTTTCTCATGGTATGAACATAATAGTAAATTGGATGTTATATTTTTTATTGTTTAGATTACTAATTGCTTTGATGTTTTTAAAAATTGCTTCAATATTTACTTATATAAATCATAAAGTGCCTATTTGGTAATATCAAATTCAAAATAAAAAAAATTATGAAAATAGCAAAATCGGTTTACTATTATACAATTCACGTAAAATAAAAAATTACACAATTAATGAAAAAATGACTAATAAGCCTGATAAGTAAAAAAACATAGTAATAAAACGGACTCATATTTTTTTAAAACATCATATTGTTTATTTAAATAATAACAATATTTAAATTCACGTTTCAATTTCACATCAGCAAACAAAAAAAAATGTTTTGAAAAAAATTGTTTAATAATTAAAATAATTGAAGTATAATATATCTATAAATTACTATATACTCATACTTTTGACAAAAAATTAAAGCGGAATGAAAAATGAAAATATAAAATAAGACAACTAAATTCAATGATCATATGACAATATGATCTCAGCATATTAAGTTTCACATTTTATTTCAAATACTAGCAATTACATTTATCTAGCACATTTCAATCAATAACATAAAAAAGTCAATGTGCTCCAAATAAGCTTGACTTCCACACACACTTGCCTTCACTGATATGGCCTTCAACCAAAAAGAAAAATTGGTTAATACTACTATAATATCTGAAACTTGCAAGTAATAATTAAATAAATAATATTCCCATTTAAGAGCCCAAATCTTTCTATAATTATCATTTCTTTTTACAAGAAAATTCTCATTTCTGGATCCATTTGATCACTACCTAAGAAGCACTCCTGAGGTATATATATTCTGCCCATTCTTCTTTCTTATATACTAATCTTAGGTTTATTCAATATAATATAATTAATGCCTTTTAATTTTTTGGTATATATTGCTAAAAACAGCCGTGTACATTTGAGTGGCAATATAACAGTACGTATTGCAATTTTCTCTTCTAAACCAACTTATAATTTTATAAGCAAGGTTTGAGCCTTGACTATAATGGTGTGGAAGTGATCTCTATTCCAAGACCATAAATTTAATCCTAAAACTGTCATCAAACGCTTCCATTACGAACCAGAATCGAACCAAAAATCAGTCCAATCTGCTTCAAATTTTTTAGTAGGCTAAAAGCCAAATTGACACTAAACTAATTTTACCCTAACGTAAGAGCATCTCCAATGCTATAATGTGTACGGTGTACATGTGGCATGAGTGATAGTCACATAAATATTAGCATATAAATTATCTCTCTCCTTATTTGAATGATTTTATACAATTTTGGTAAGTTTTTTCCTGCAATGTCAACAACAATGTCAACATCTAGACGGTCTCCTTGACATTATGAAGAAAAATTTACCAAAACTGTATAAAATCATTCAAATAAGGAGAGAAAGAATTTATTTACTAATATTTATGTGGTCATTTCTCATGTCACGTGTGCACCGTGCACATTTTACCATTGGAGATGCTCTAATAAGTGTGTGCAAACATATATTTGGACACAAAATCCAATCGAATCCATACCTAACCCGTTGAGCATAACATATGCGGAGTATTTTTCATTAATTATATATACCAAAATAGGAGTAAAGTACTCATCGTAGAAACAAGTTACAGTTTTGTTAGAGCATCTCCAATGCTAAAGCGTTAACGGTGCATACGTGGCATGAGAAATAACCAATTAAAAAACAATAAATACAATATTTCTCTCCTTCTTTCCACGGTCTTATGTGTTTATGGTAAGTTTTTGTCTGCAATGTCAATCACAATGTCTACATCTAGACATTGTGCTTGATATTGTGAAGATAAACTTATCAAAGTGATGTAAGATCCTTTAAATAAGGAGAGAGAAATTGTATTTATTATTTTTTAATTGGTTAATTCTGATGCCACGTATGCACCGTTAACGTTTTAGCATTGGAGATGCTCTTATATGATACCTGATTGACAATAAAGTTAGTTGGTAGTTTTTTCCCTATAAAGTGTACTAGTTTACCTCTCCGGTTAATCAATAGTAGTACAATAGCAGTGTAAATGAGAAAGTAGTAAAGAATTAAAGACAGCATCTTGGTGAATGGAATGGTTTTGGGAAATTACTCGAATGTTCCTAGAGATTTATATACCTGCAATACTCGTGAAAAGCAGACCAATTGACTTTCTTTTCAACTGCAAAATAGATCTAAAAACAAAAGATAAGATAAGTACTAAAGAAATAACTTTTACCAAAAATAAACTATAATTTGTGAGTTTCATCAAACTGATAGGATCAGGTCTGAAGAATATCTGACTGTGAACATATCAGGCTGTGAATCGATTATTTTGTTGTGGAGAGAAGAGACATCGGTGCCACTGCTTTTACACGGTCAAGGACTAATCAAGATGCTCTCTCTTGCTAGACAACCTTATTTTTTTCTGCTTAATTTTCATTTTATCTTTTGGGTGATTTATAATTTCTAAAAATTCATGATTCAAAGATTATGTTCTTAGTTTTCTTCTTCAGGACTTTTAATTTTCTTAATAGCTGTGAGTCTGTGACCAAATTGTGATCAATAATATGAAAAGGGTCATTAATTTGAAGTACTACATAAAACAAAATGGAGTAACGGTTCAATTTTTTCAAAAATTATATGAAACAAATTTGTATAGGTTGAGAGGATGTCGTTAAACTGGGCAGAAGTATCTTATTCTGAAATTTAGCTTGACTCCAACTGATCTAAAGTTGTAGTTCACATGATGGCTATCAACCAGAGTTAGCGACAATCCTTGGAGTGGGTTGAAGTTTAGAATGTTTTCTTTTGGAATGAAATTTGCTGGTCTGGTCTGGTCTGGGACTGAAAACAGTCCAAAAGAAAACATCCTTATTATACATGATGATGACGGAAAATTAGTCAAGAAGACTTTAAATGTTGTTTATTGGGAAATATATAATAATTTGTAGTTTTCTAATCTCCAATTATTTTATAAAAAACAATACTCCGTATATGATTGTTTTATGTTTACAATAGCATTTCTTTATCTTTATAAATAACTCAATGTTTACTAAATACATCCCGTGCAACGCATGGGTGAAAAATCTAGTATGAGTAAAAACGTTTATGTGTTCCAAAATAGAACCGTTGTGTTTTTATTCCCTAAATTAGTATTGTCATGTTTTGGCAGTACTAGACTTTAAACACGGCAGTATTTTTCAAACCTGACAGTAATTACTCTTATTTAGGGAATAAAACATGTTAGTCCTATTTTGGAATTCTCAAACGTTTTTAATCATATTTTGGGAATTTTTCCTTAAAACTTTGTCATCTTTCCCTTTTAATCAATTGTTTTATGATTCCTATTATTTTTGTCTATTCTGCACAAGTTTCAATCACACAGTTTGTACATTATTATTCTATGTGCTGGTCAAATTTGGCAAAGTTTTAAGGAACGGAAGGAGTAATATTTTTGAAAAAAAACATTTTTTCTATATTATAAATAAATTAATATATATAATACGGAGTGTGTATTAAAGATACGACCTTCATCCCATTTTATTAGACATCTTTGATTTCTCCCATCAAATATTGTAATCATTGACCAATTATTTTTACTACGGAGTAATATATTTATGTAAAATTTAAGATTTTTGTACTTTTATAATATCATTAATTTCAATAAAGAACATCTTCATGTCATTCTCATATAGTCATATTATCAATAATTCTGTATATCATGTCATTCTCATGTAGAAATCACTAATTTGAAGTTAGTTTGGCCTAACTAAACTAAAATGGGAAGAGGGTATTCAATAATCAATAATCAATACTACTCTGTACGTAACTAACTAAAAACGAATAACAGGCAAGTGAGCAAGTCAGTCTCTTTTGGCGGGAAGTTCTTTTCCCAAGAAACAATTTACAAATACGGAGTAGCTTATTAGTCCGTATACTACTACATGTACGCAATAGATGAGATTTTGGATGAAATACTCGGCACAAAGATTGGTTTTGACGTTCGATTTCTTTTAACCGTGATCAACTGAATTAGATCATGGTGACGAGTTTTGGCGACGCTTTTGGTAAGATTTTGGTGTCTTTAATTAGTAATATGGTGTGGGTGGAGTTCGGAAAATTAGTAATCGTCGACAGGACTGCGGGAGTGATTGATTTCGTTTTCTTTTTCCTCCGTTGGCGTGTTCAGTGTCATTGGCCCTGCATCTTCGGTTGATTTTGCCATTAATGGTCCTCACAAGAATGGGATTTCGAATTGGATCTGTAGTTTCTTCATATGTACGCCTGCCCAGGAAGGTATTTTTAGCCTTGGTCAGTGTTGCTGTTTTTTTTTCTGTTGAATTGGTTTATGTTTCTTCAGTAGTTTCATTGAATTGGTTGTTGTCAATGGAGTTGTTCAAAGGGGAATCTGGTGGATGGTCAAGTTCCCATCACCTGTTCTTGATTTATGAGTGCTTTCTCTATAATGGTTTAAGTATTAAATTAAGTAATTATGGTTTGCAATTCACGCAGGACTTAATAAGTGAAATGCCAAATGATATTCTGTGCTCCATCCTCTCACGACTGGATACCAAAGATGCGGTTAGGACTAGCATATTGTGTAGTCGATGGAGAAACCTCTATCTTTTTCTGCCAAATTATTCTTTTAGCTCCCCATGCTTTGTGGAGAAGCCTTTCATTCTCTGGTGTAGGTGCACTGCCGAGTACAAGAATTTTTTTTTTGACCTCCATGGATCGGTTTATTCAAATCCATAGAGGAGGTGGATCTGAAAAGATCAAAACTTTCAGCATGTCATTTTGTGTAGAGAGAGAATCCACATGTCGCATTGAGCGTTGGGTGCGTCACATTGCTGGGTTGGGTGTGGAAGAGCTTACCCTTAAGTTGGATAATCAATTCTTTGCAGATCCGATATCATTCCCGATTCGAGAGCTTTTATGCGGAGCAGCAGCACCTATGCTCACATCTCTGTATTTGTCTAGGTGCAACTTGGAACCCCTCAACCCCCAACAACCGTTCAAAACTCTAAAATCCCTAACGTTGCATAGGATTGGTTCAGTTGATGTGAAGAGCATATTGTCATCATGCCCAAAACTTAAGTCTCTATGCTTGGATGATTGCTCTCTTCCTTCTAAGGTGTTCATTGGCGGAAGAAAACAACTGGAGTTGAAGTCATTAACCTTTATCGCATGTTATGGGGCAAACGAGGAGATATATTTGTGTGCTGAAAACCTTCTAAACTTGGAAGTGAGTTGTTTACCACTGAAGTTTTCTCATCCTGCCCATGCCCCAAGCTCCAGCATGTCAGCTTCAAGGGAGTATACAATGGTGATATACCACACACCATTAGCTGGGTAGCAAAGGATTGTTCTCAGGTTGAAACTTTTTGTCTCGATTTAAGGTTGGACAAAAGCCAGGTGGCATATGGTTTGCCGCGCAAGGTGCCCACATTTAGTCGTTTGAGGCAGCTTGACATACTAATGGAGTTCAATGATTTGGTTGATGTGACCCAAGTTGCTGGTTTAATCATTCACTGTCCACTGCTTCAGATATTACATTTGGTGGTGAGTCCCCTTCCTTATTGAGGAGTGCTTATTTCTTATTTAATGATTCAATTGGATTGAGGTGAACAAGATAAGATAATTTGATTCAACTTTATTCAGAACTTAATTAATGTTGTTATTTATTTATTTTATTTTCATTTCAACAAAACCAATTTCTGTGAGTGATAGAAGAAAGAGACACAAAAGGCGAGGGATCAAACATACACACAATGGTATTATGGCATGACCAAGGGTCTGTCCATTTAATATTTGTGTAATGTCTTCGGGAAAATAATGTGGATACATTTTGGCAGAACACAATTCTCTCTCTCTCTCTCCCTCCCCCCCCCCCCCCCCCTCTCTCTCTCGAGTATAAACAAATGAAGAAGCGTGCATTGGTTTGCTTGCTAAGTTTGGGTTTTGTCCCCTCAGTTCATGTTTAGTGCATATTGCCATGTAGTTAATAACAACATAAGGAGTAAAAACTGTAGTAAAGGGGAGAGAAGCTAATGAAAATGAGAACTACAAGTATTACATACGGGGTATTATTTATTTACTTATTTGTGAATATAATATTAATAGTTGAAACATAGAAATTTTTTAGCTCACATTTGAGCCCAAATTCGAACTCGAGCCGAGCACAAATAAGCTTGGACCAAAATTATTAGGCTCGTTCGAGCTTAAGCTCGAACTTGAGACAATGCATTCTTATTGAGCTCTAGCATGCCCTAGTTCTAGCTCAGCTCGTTTGCGCCCCTAGTTTGACACATGAGAACACCTTCTTGGAAGTCATTATATTTATTTGTACATACAAGCAGTAGAGCATCTCATTTTCCTGGAAATCACTGGCTAGTTATCCTGCAAACAAACAAAGCCGGAGTATATCAAAATATGATGTTAATCTTCTGGCTATTTCATTGTGGGTAATGATGATAAATTTTCATGTGTACAGCGAAGGGCGAAAACAGCCCCTAGACCACTTGGTCCAAGGAGTTTATCTCCCATAAATCATCTTCATCTAAAAGAAGTAGAATTCGGTGGGTTCCATGGTTTGGAGAATGAGATTTCTTTGGTATTATATATCCTGAAAAGTGCTTTAGCTCTTGAGAGGATGACATTAAGAAAGGATTTTGAGGGGTATGCTGCAACATTTAACAAGAGCAAAGGTTGCATGGAGCTTAGTTGTTCGCCAAATGCAGAGTCTACTCCAACATTTGATAAGATCACATCACACGTAATCCATCAACAATTGCAAGGGCAGGCTGCTTCTCCAACAGTGCAAGTGGTCATAATTTAGGTTGTCTTCTTTTGTGTTCAATTTGTGTGGCCTTATTTGTCTAGTTTGACCTGGTTTGGCCCGATAGAATGTTTTCATTCTTCAAGGTAGTGCATCATTGCCTTAGTAGACCTTACACAGTTACACCCCTAAAAATGTTAGGGAAAATTAAAGCATGATTTTGAAGCCTTGCGCAGGCTGGATAATGTCTATTGTCTCTTGTTTTTGAAGCGGTTGAAGTCTTGAGCGGGATAATGTCTATTGTCTTGAGCGGTTTTAATTACTATCAAGGATTGAAGGCACGTGAAAGAAAATTGTTAGATCTCATTTTTGCAAATATTCCAGTAATAATAATATGAAGTAACCACTTGATTTTGCATATCAGAATCAAGGGAGTATGTCAATGCAGCAAAAAGGACATTGTGGGATCACATTACGGAAAATCGATTAATTTTTTTTCTTTCATGTTGTGCTAATGATCTAATCTACTTTCAAATTAGTTATTCAATCTTGTTAATGTGTTTTCTAACTATACAAAAAGCCCTCTAAAGGGGTGTTTATTTTCAAACAAAGCATTTATTATTAAAATTAATCTATGTTATTGTATAGTAACTCCTAATTTCCTTAAAATAGTGGATTTGCTACCATACCATATGAGTTCTTCAAAGCTCTACAATGAAGATTTACGTAACTGTTAATCTTTGAAATACCTTTTTAATTTGTTTTTGTTCTTTACTTGTTCGGTGTCTAATCTGAATGTGCTTCGTGAATTAGTAGTTAATTTGCTACCGTATGTTGTATATTGACTATACTAGCGATTACTCGCGCAAGGCGCGAGAGTGTTTGCCCAATATTAAAATAATATTATCTTTTTTTTAAAAAGTGTCATATGCAAAATTGTTAGGAGTTTCATAAATAGATAATGGAATTTTACATATCGAGCCTATTTGGTGACTATGTTTTTCGCCTTATCGGGCTTATCAATCAACTTTTTTACCAAGCATATAATTTTTTATTTCACGCGCTGAATTATGTAATAATAACAAAAGTAAGGTTGTAGTTACTTTTCTGGTTGTATTGACTGAAGTTACAGTAGATGACTATTTTAGTTATTATTTCATACAATTTTTCTTTATTTTATTAATAAAATATATTTTAAATATAATTTATTCATAAATTAGCAGAATCAGCCAATATAGCCACTTCAGCCAGAACTTCATATATTTCACCAGAATCAGCTACTTCATCCAATTTTAGTGTTACCAAACAGGCTCATCTTATACTACGTATATTATAAAAATTGCCAGAATAATTATATTCCATGTCAACCAATTATTGTGCGGAAAATATGTGATTATGTGGTTCATCCTTAATCAATTTTAAGGAATACATTAAAAATATTGATGTAAATATCATCCAAATGCATATAGTTGTGCACAAACCATTTTTGTGAGCAATGAGTATTTCACATTCCTAACAAGATTGTAATCATATGTGTTTGAAGCAATAAAAGATTACATTTAAGCCACGTATTTAATTAGCTATGTAGCATGGACCTTAGATAGGAAATTTGTGTATGTTAGCTCACATGTAAAACATTTCTTATATTGAACATATAATCCGTAATTGTAACAATATATTTTCTCCAAAAAATATAATTTATATATTTATAAAGTACAAGAAAGTTTATAATAATGCATACAATTAAATGAAATAATTGAGTATGTTCGGAAAAAACAATAACTGTGAAATCGTTAGAGATTATAAACTATAATCTTTTATACTCCGTAGATTATATTAAACATGAGAGATAACCACATAAATATAATCAAATAAATTATGTCTCTCCTCATTTGAATGATTTTATACAATTTTTGTAAGTTTTTCTCCACAATGTCAAGAAGACTGTCTAGATGTTGACATTGTGCTTGACATTGCAAAGAAAAACTTATCAAAATTGTATAACATCATTCAAATAAGGAGAAAGATGATTTATTTGCTAATTTTTATGTGGCTCTCTCTCATGTCACATGTGAACCGTGCATAGTGTAGCATTGGGGATGCTCTAAGGTGAGTGAGAAGTTCATTGTTACTGATAGAAGAAATAAAATAATATAAGAATTTTTGCCATTTTTGGTCCCCAACTATTATGTCGATGTCACTTTTGGTACTCGACTTCTAGTTTTTCCATTATTAGTCCTCGACTATTGTACTAGAGACACTTTTAGTCCCCGACTTTAAGGTTTCCCACATTTAGTCCCTGAGTATTGTCAAATTGACACTTCTAATCCTCCCATTGTGATTTTGCCACAATAAGTGGGGGGCTAAAAATGTCCCTTTTATAATAGTTGAAGGATCAAAAGTGTCACTTTTATAAAAGTTGAAAGACTAAATATGGAAATTTTCAAAAACGGGTACCAAAAGTGTCTCTAGCACAATAGTCAAGGATTAAAAATGGAAAAATCATAGTCGAGTACTAAAAGTGTCAATGACATAATAATCGGAGGACTAAGGCTCTGTTTGCAACCACTTGTGCTTAAATAAAAGCACTTTTGGGGAAAAAGTGATTAGTAGTAAAAGTTGGTAGTGTTTGGTAAAATAAGTGCTTTTTGTGTAATAGAAAAAGTAAAAAGTAGATTCTACACGAAAATCGAAGAAGTAAAAGTTGATAGTGTTTGGAAAAATAAGTGCTTTTTTCTTAAAAAAGAAAAGCCAAAATCACTTTTTTTAATTGGTTGCAAACAAGCCCTAAGAGTAGAAAAAAATCAATAATACAATAACAAGTTCACATCCAAAAAAGGAAAAGAATAATAGAAGAAATAAAATAAAATAAAAATAAAAGATTAGATGGCATGACCATCCCTATAGGATTTGTATACGTCATTCCGTTGCAAAACCATTCCATGTAAAGCATTAAGATATACTCGTACATTGTTAGTTGTTACCCGGCTTACCCCTAAATAGTTTTGTAACGGATAAACAGCCAAAACTACTCCTTATAACGGAAGTTTTTTTTAGGAACTCCGTATAGCGAAAGTTAAATAACTCACGGACAGTAAGGGTAAAGCAGACAATAAAAAAACAGGGTTCCATCTTCTAATAAGAATGTACAACATCTTATGCCTTAAGCGTGTTGACACAATTCAGGGGTACCAACCCTCATTCATAATTATATTGTTGTTAGATATATTCTTCAAAACTAGGAGTGTATGTAATTATATTAATATTTGCATGTCATTGTAATTTGTCATGGTTCTGCATTTATTGCCTCTTTTTGGAGTAAAAGATAAACATGGGAAAATTGACACAAAGAGACATCAAAAAGTGGGGAATATTAAAGGAACAAACCAACTAATGTCACAAAACTCCAAACACACAAAGAGTCAAGTGACATATGAAGAATGCAATTTTATGTAGAAAGGCTTGACGGTTGGTTGCACCGAAATGAATTTTTGTGCACAAATAAAAAATGTGTGTATTTATATATTTTTATTTATGTGCATAGATATTAGTTTTTGTACAACCTAACGGATGTCTTTGCAAAAAAAATGCAATTTGATGTAAGTGCATGCAAACCAATGTATGTATATAAACATTTTTGTATGTGGCACAATTTCACAAAATGTTACTAGTTTTTCAGTTTCATTTTTCTCTACAAACAAGTTGTATCGTTATTTTGCATGGCCCAAACAATATTTTATGAATAACATTATAAAACAAACAAAAATTCTGGTGATTGCCGCTCCTCTAATTTCTCGGGAGCTTTACCTTGACTCTCAAATTTCATTAATTTTTTTCGATCCCAGAAGTTATATTGGTGAAGATGGTGATGGGAGATGATGGAGTGTGAATAGAAGAGAAAAGGAAAGATAAAGAGAGAAGGAAAGATGATGAAGATCAAAGAAAGAAAGAAGAAAAAAGGTTTATTACCCAAAATGGGACTAAAAAAGTTTGAAAATTCTAAAATAGGACTTCCATGTTTTTATTCCCAAAATAGGACTAATTACTGTCATGTTTTGGCAGTACCAGACTTCAAACATGGCAGTATTTTCCAAATTTGGCAGTAATTAGTCCTATTTTGGGAATAAAAACATGACAGTCCTATTTTGGAATTTTCGAACTTTTTTAGTCCCATTTCGGGAACTTTCCCAAGAAAAAAAGAAGTGTTTGAATGGATAGAGAAGAGAGGGTGGGATAAAAAAAATGGACTCTTTTGTCAAAGGTGTATCAAAATGCATATGCCTAATATTCTTGAATGATTTTAGTATAGGGCATGCCTAATAGATTACGGTGTGTTTGGTTAGAATTCTTCTATCAGCCATTTTTTACTAACTTGACTAATTAATGTCCTTTTGACCGCAAGATTAGCTAACTGGTGTGTTTGGTAAATAAACTTTTCATTTGATTTTTTGTCATGAACGGTCAAAGCAAAAAAATACTAATAACAGTTGCTTTTAGGTATGTGCTATTTTGTTTCGTATATCCGGATATTCCTAATTTGCACACGCCTCTATTCGGTAAAATACACCGTATAGCCGGCTATACCGTGCGCACGGTACAAGTGGCCTTTTTTAGGGCTTATGCGTTTCTTGCCCGGCTTCTCTGATCTTAGTCCCTGATTCTGCGTTGCTCTCCGATCTTCGCCCCTGCTTCTGCGTTGCTTGCGAAGGACTTCATGCACCAAGCAGACCACTCCTCTGGCAGCTCTCTTCTTCTCAAGCTCTCCTCTCGCCACTCTCTTCTCCTCTTGCAGAGCTGCGCAAGAGATGGTGGCTCTAGGCGATTTCTTTGTTGGTCGGGAAGAAGTATGCAGGGAAGACAGATTGGAAGATGATTTAGGAGATTTGAGTTCATATTTCTTGATGACGAATCTGGAATGAGTTTATATTAAACTCAAATGAGTATAAGCTTAAAAAGAATGAACATACACAAATGAATATTGAGCATATTAAAAATGAGTTTTATGTTAAACTCAAAGAGTATAAAACCGAAAATGAATGAGCATACACAAATGATTTTTTAATTTTTTATACTTATTTTGTGTGTTATGTATGCTCATTTGGTACCTCTTTATGCTCATTTCAAATGTATCATACTAATGTTAAACTCAAATGAGTATAAGGCCAAAATGAATTACCATGCACAAATGAGCTTTTAAATTTTTTGATACTTATTTTGTAAATTACATATGCTCATTTGGTGTTATTTTATGCTCATTTAAAAAAAAACAGATTTGATGCTCATCACAATCGCATAATGAAAATCATTGGTACTTATAATTTCAAGTTGATGCTCAATAAAAATGTCTTGATGTTCAATTACAAGTACTTATGATTTTCATATCAATTCTTATTTTATAAG